ACAACAGCGCTGTAGCGACCTGTTAATGACAAGGTAGCCATGCCCTGCTTTATCGTCTGTTTTACTCTAAATGGGACCATAATAAAGTGAACATCATGCTGTGTTGAAGACAACTTGAAACTAGCGATTGAGACCATGAACTCCTGTTTTCAATGTTTACTGAGGAAATTATTGAGGAGTGAGGAGTAGGGTCATTGTCTCAAATCAAAAACAAAAAAAACTTACCAAAGTACCAAAAAGCATCCACTTCACAGTGTAAAGACAGAGGTCTTGCTCTAGACAGAACAATCACAGTTGTGGTCCTGATCAGCTTTCAACAAAAACTTTTCAAATTTAAATGAGGTGCACCTGCTAAGGGACAGCTTTTAAAAACTTGCCTGATTTAATTAATTTCTCTGCTGAGGAGAGCAAGTTAGAAACTGCTCAACATTGTTTTTAATCCGGTAAGTTTCAATTTTATAATGTCCTCAAATAGCTTTAAATGTTAATAAGGTACCTTTAAACACATAAATTAGGTTGCAAAGTAATCTTTCACTGTGGTGCCCCATGAGATACCATCTTCTGCTGCTTTGTTGAAATTGCCCTCCAGTAATACTCTGCTGCAGTAGGTATTTAACCGAAGTGTTCTGCACTTTACATATGCTTCTTTATCTGTGTCCCTGTTTGTCTGCACATGTGCTCTTGCTTGACTTTGTTTGTGTGTCTCTCAGGCTGCGAGTCAGCTTATTACGCTCGACAACCCTGCTTTCAAGGTAGTATGTGGGTAAACAGAGATAGCAGGTCCCATGTCAGGGCTGTGATAAGGACTCGTGGCCTGTGTCATTGCTGCTGTAGTGTTCCCACAGTATTTTGAGAGACGGACGGGTGGTACTGATGCACTGAGGACAGTCGCACAGGGAGCCCTAGAGGTGGAGAGCCCCCAAAGCCCCCGGGAGGCGGGCGAGAGCTGTTGTAAAGCCTGAGCCACAAGCCACCTTTCAGCTGGTCTCAGCACACTGCTACGGTGATAAAGTATGGGGCAGAAAGTGACAGAATGAGAGCTAGGATAGTTGGAAACGTAACAGTAAAGTCGCTCTGCATGTCTGAGATATGAGTGTGTACAGCTGCCACTCCCATCTCTGCCTCTTTTACAGTTTCTCTTCACCCACTTTCTCTCTCCCGTCCGCCCACCTCCTGTCCCCTGCTTGCGCTCTCCAATCTTATTTCCTGTCGGCCTGTCTTCTATCTAAGCCTACTCTGTGTCAGTGTATCAGACTAATTCAATATCCAATACACAGTCACTCCAATGTAATGACCCATGACATTCAATTAATGCTTTCCCCCCTTTTTTCTCGGCAGTAGGTAGCTGTGTGTGCTTGTTTGTCTGGTCCCTGAGTAGGTGTACATATCATTTTCAGTCAGTTTAACCTTAATTTATATCATCATATGCAGTATTTGCACAAATATCAGTTTCCCCCATAGATTGTTGTGTGTTTTTGACATTTTCAAATACAATGTTGGGTATTTCTCTGTGGGTCTCAGTTCCAAAATACCCTAAAAACACAACTATATTACTTTGGTTGAGGTTTCCACGCTGATGACATGAAACCTTCTGGCTGTCAGTACGAGCTTATTTACTATACTCTCATTATTCCTGTCTTCCGGGCTTCACATTACCGACGTCGCCGCCTCTCGACCAGATGTCACGCTTATTGGATTGGTGTTGAGTGATTGCTGCATGTCCTTTAAGGGGTTATTATGTGTGAGACTGAGAGACTTCAACAACAGTGACTCAACCAGACACACACATAAACCTACATACTGTAATCAATGTAAGCACATATACACGTAAACAAACACTGACAAAGAGGGTGACTAACGTGGCGCTGACACATGCAAACACAGTTTTGGACACACATACCCGTGGCCTCCTTTTAGCCTTGTCTACCCTATAGCAAACACTGTCAATTTGGATTAGCATCGCCTTTATGAGCTTTTAGCTCAGTCATTATGACTTTAATCCATTGTGGATATTTATTCAGTAGCCTAACCTGGATCATCCACTAGTTACTGTGCTTAGGGATGGGGCAATATAGGATTATATATTATGTTATATATAGATTATATATATATATATATATATCATGGCTCATAATTCATAGTAATTCATGCAGAAGCCTACCAAACACTACGAGATTCCTGTTGCTCTGAGGCCTTTCATTAGCCTAAAAAGCATTAAGAGAGACTTTAATTATAAAAGAAAATGCTCACAACTGCACTGTGGAGAAGGCAAGGTAGACTCTTAACAGGTTTTGTCAGAGTCACTGATCGTTACTGTGGCAACTTTTTCACAGCGTCATCTTTACTTCTGCCCTGCTCATTTCTTTCCGTCAGCCATACTGAAGCTTTCATTCTTCATCTTCATCCACATGTTCTCCACCCTATTTGTTCTCTCCTCCCTCCTTTCTCCTTAGCTCCCCCTTCTCCCTTCTCTCCCACTCTACCTCTGTCTCTCCGTTTTGGTAATGATCTAATTAAGGAGGGTTTTGTTGCCTGCCCACTGTGCATAATTGCCAGTTGGGTCTCTCTGTACTTCACTCAGTAATTACGAGCGGCATTCTTCCGCTCCCGAAACGGCTAATTAAGCCTTAAGGACAGCAAGCCGATGGTATAGTCGCATTAAGCATCGGGAGGAGTCAGGAATGCCTGTGCCTCTCCTCACTCCCGGGACACGCACATAAGTAGTGGCTTGAAGAATGGTTGCCATGGTAGCAATCACATGGTGTCAGATCCTGTGCAGAGGCTGTCAGTCAGATGATCTTCGTGTCTCTCTCTCTATGTGTGTGCGCGTATATATCTGTTCATCTGTAACAAAGACAACATTTCTGCTCCAGGTCACCAGCTCCTTTTCATTATTAAGGCTCAATCTATGAAGGCGGTACAGGTTCCCGTTTAGGCCTCTGGGTGGACTGGCTGTCATTTGTGATTGATTGCATTTCTAGCTTGTGTAATGCTTGCCTTGCAATACATCCCAACTCAGCACAACACACAGCTGACCCTGTGGCCCGGACTATATATGCACTGACGAAACTATGTATATATCAGCTAAGTTCTGTTCCGTACAATCACACATACATATCTAAATTATGCTGTAATGGATGTTTAATTGCATTTTTATTGTAGTAATTGGTTACAGGGGCTTCTATGTCACATGCAACAGACTGGGGTGGCTTTTAGAAAAACCAGTTGGTACAGGGCCAGTTGAAAATTTGATTAGAAACTAGAAATTAACTGCTACAGAAGCCATCTGGGTTGTTGAGAATGGCTATGCATGATACATTTTTTCAGTATCACAAACTCCTTGTCGAACAGTACACTGAGGAGGTGTGTGTTCCCATTCTTTGGAGACATCAAAGCAGTCATTTCAAATGGGAAAACTGCCTCTTTAGAGACAGTGTATTCATATTCCCCACTAGACCTTTATCCTTTTTGAGTGTAACAAATGGTATTAAAATATGGACAGAGGTAACATCATCAAAGCTGCACTGTTGCACTATTATAACTATTTACGTTGCAATATAGCATTGGTTATTATACCTGCATTAACTTTTAACCCAGGGACATAATAAAATACAATGCATAAAAGCATGTTATATTAAAGAAAACACCTGTAGTTCCCGTTCCAATACATACAGTATACTGCATATTACTGTGCTAGACCGCCTAAAAATAATGAAAATGTTGATGTTTGAACTCCAGCATGTATTAAACCAGAGCTTCAGGCACTTGTGCACTATGTCTCCTACATAGCAGATATTTTTCTCCGGTGACACAAATTTGCATTGAAATTACATGAATAATGTGTGCCTTTTTGCAAAATAGCCTTAGAGTTGACATTTGTCCGTAAGGGCTCAAGTGTTCATTCAATATGGATTTGAGCTGTGCAGCAATCTGACCGAATTGCCGGGTTTTATCATTAGTAGTGTATATTTTATTAGAAGGCTTTACATAAGCCCTTAAAAGTTTCGACTCCCCTTGCTGAATTGTTTCCCATCTCACTTAGCTCTACTCTTCAGCAAGCGCTTTGTAAAAGAGAAAACAAAAAGGGCAAGTGGCTCCAGTTTCTTGGCTTCTCCAAGTGGAACAAATGATACAAAGTGGCACCAAATGGAAAGTGTTCCCTTTTGTGAGTCTATCCAGGGTTGTGTCGACTTTAAATGGCTTCCAAAAGCTCTGGCTCATGCAAGGCAACTTAAATGAAGTTAATGAAGACAATGGTGCCGCCTTTCACCCTCATTGTGCTATTAGTATTTGCTGTTGCTTGGTATAACTGCATAATGTTATCTTCAGTAGAGAAGCAGAGACTGCACAGTAAATAACTGCATATTTACCAAGTTATTACATAGAGTCATTGCTGAATATGAGACACATTATTTAAATGCTTTTCCTCACCCCAGTTAACCATCTGGACTGTTGGTAATGCTGCCCGGCTTTGTACTGAACAATTTGTCATAAGAGGCATTAAACATTGTCATTAAAAAAAAAAAGTGTTGTGTTTTTTTGTGTGCCATTAAAATATTACTGCATGCATTTTTAACATAATGTTTGGTTTACCTAAATACAGTTGCAAATTGCTTAGCTTAGTTATGACACAAGTCGGCATATTTTGTACCAATTTTGTCCTGGCAACCTAGCCAAGGCTGAAACATGGTCTTACACAACTTATTGATTTTCTCAAATATTTGTTGTCTTGTTGTATGAGTCGGTTTTATTGTATTTGCTGTACTGAATCAGTGAAAAATAATTAGTGAATCCTGGAAAACAAGTGACTTCAACAAAGGAAAACTACCTTATCCACGAGGTCCAAACACAATTTTCCACCGTTCATTTGAGTTCCCAGATCTGTCATTCCCCCTGTAAAAATGAGACGCGGCAGAATGTATAATTCAGTTCTGTTCAGACGACAATGATGGATAATATTTACGTTTCTCACACAGTTCTCTCATTTCTGTTTTATCCAGGCTGCAAGCTCCAACTGAAGCAAACACAAGTCGATGACTGAGAACTCCGCCTCCCATGATGGACAAGAAAAGTGGTGAGTGTCACTAAGCGTGCACTTTACCAAAAAAAAACAATCCCCTTGCTTCTAGTAGCCACAAATCAGATTTTTCTTATTTTTCTACAAATAGAATCAGGTTGTACATCACATGACACAATATCTGACATAAAGAGTGAAACATTTAACTTTGTGTTCCTGAATGTGACCAAAAGCAGTGAAGGGTGCATTTCCTTTAGGTGATAGCCATATTCATAAATTGACACAGAATGAGCAACATGTTGCATGCTGATTAGTTTGTTTTGGCGCAATCGCTGAATGATAATTACTTCCCAGTAAGTGATATGGTTTTACATAATGATTTTCATGTTAATTCCCTCCAGCCAACGGCTTTCAGACCAAGGCCAGTGAGGGCGGTGTTCAGCGGAAGCAGCTGCCCTACTCAGTGGAAACTCCCTATGGCTTCCACCTGGACCTGGACTTCCTCAAGTATGTTGACGACATTGAAAAAGGCAATACCATCAAAAGGGTCCACATTCAGCGCAGGGTGAAGGTCCCAGCCAAATTCAGCACACTGCCCAGAAATTTCAGCCTTCCTGGGCATGGGGCTAGGCCTCCCCCTAAGGAAAAGGACAGCACATGGTCTGGGACGTCCACCCTGGGGCCCAAGCCTAAATCGCGGGTGACAGAGGTCCAACAGATATTCGACTTCAGGGCAAGCGAAGGAGGAACTTCCAGCCAAATCAGCAGAGGGACAACCAGTCAAAGAGCTGGCTATGTTTCAGCAAAGCCCAGAGAGGAAGTAGGAGCTGGGGCTAAGGATGTTGAAGAGAAAACTGAGGGTATTCAAAGTCGTCCGAACCTGCTCCGAGCATCAAGCATGCCCATCACCCTACAGCAAAGGAAAGGTTCCGATTCAAGCAGTCCAGACCGTATTGTGGGAACACCGGAGAGCGGCTCGACGGAGAACATTTTTCGTGCTTCACCGGACATAACAGAGAGACGGTGTGTTCCTCAGGATCGGACGGGGCTTCACCAGCAGATCACAGTGGCACTGAAGCGGGTCAGAGAGCTGGAAGAGCAGGTCAAAACCATCCCAGAACTCAAGGCTCAGATCTGCTCACTGAGGGAGGAGAGGGAGAAGCTACTGCTTCAGCTCCAAGCCCAGCTCCAAGCCCAGGCCAAAGCCCAGGCCAAAGCCCAGGCCCAAGCACATGTTTCCTCATTACCCTCTACAATAGCACCCAATTCTGATTCTGGGACACGCACTCAGCCACAAGGACACAGACCTTCAGAAGGGCTCAACTTAGCTCTGATGACTCAACCCACTGGAGGTTTAAAAGCTTCAGAGCTTGTGCCGACAAAGCTGGTAACAGGGAAAGGGAAACAAGGTGTTACAGAGAAAAGTAAAGTGTTACAAAAAGAGAGGGAGATAAATCAAGAATCTTTGAAGAGTTCCTCGGCACATGGAGAAACGAGTGGGTTGTCCGATCAAGAATCGGTGAGAGAAACACAACTGTCAGAAAAATCAGACATACAAAACGAGAAATTAGAGAGTGCACTGGAGCATGCAGTGCGAAAGCTATCAAGGGACATTGCAGGACAGGAATTAACATCACTTAGGGGGGCTATAAAAGACGCAGAGACTAGCAGTATTCAAGATGGTGATGCAGCAAAAGAAGGCAAACTTGAGGACCCAGATAGTACGCAGAATCTGCAGGAAAAACTAATGATACTGGAGGCTAAACTTACTAAGGCTAGCCAAGATCTGGAGAGAACAAATACTCTTTTGAAAGAACAAATGGATGAGAACAAGGTAAAAGAGGAGAAAATACTACAACTGAGTGATGGAGTGAGAGTGGAGGTGTGTACTCCAGAAGAACAAAACAGGCCAAGAAGAGAGAGTATTGACACAGGGACCGAGACAGAGAAAGTAGATATTGCCAACCAAGAGACAGAGACAGAGCCACCTGGTACAGTAGATAAGGGAACAGATACAGATAGAATCTCTATTGAAGTGTTTGTACCCACACCAGGGGCTGGAAGTATCGATCAAGGAACAGAAACTAATAAAGTTGACACAAATGAACAGTTGATAGAGACGGAGGAAGAATCAGCTGCTGCGAGCCCACCGAGACCCAGAGCCAACAGCATGGAACGGGGCACAGTAACTGAGAGGATCGCCACTCAGGATCAGATGACCGAGACGCCCGTAGCAGAAAGGGTAAACCAAGTCACAGAAACAGAGGGGGAGACAGTAACAGACCATCCACAGAGACCAAGGGCCAGCAGTGTAGACCGGGAGACAGAGACAGACTATCCACAGAGACCAAGGGCCAGCAGTGTAGACCGGGAGACAGAGACAGACTATCCACAGAGACCAAGGGCCAGCAGTGTAGACCGGGAGACAGAGACAGAGAGAGTGAACACTGTGGACAGGCTGACAGAGACAGTGGGAGCACAGAGGACAGACCAGCAGACTGAGACAGAGGTAGAAAGACAACAGGATAACAACCCAGCCAGACATGCAGATGCAGAGAGTGAAGTGAGTGAACATCCAGGCAGTGACAGATTAGAAGAGGGAGGTAGTGTGGTCAGTGAAAGAGTGGATGATAACGAAGCAAATGAAAGAATTCAAAGAGATAGTGGAGAAAGTGAAAGTGTGGCCTTGAAAGAGAGTTCAATTACAGTTCTAGAACGCAGAGTTGAAGAAACTGTGGTTTCAGATATTGTAAGTCAGGATCAAGGGTGTACCAGTGCACTTGTTGCAGCGGGAGAAAATAAAGAATCTAAGATTGAAACAGTTACTTCACAGAATGACTCAGGAGCAAAAGAAAGTGAAGGAAGAGAAATTGTTGAAACACATCAGATTGCAAAGGAGCCTTTAGAGAAGAAACAAACAGAAGGTGTGATTGTGTGTGCAACAATCAAAGAGACTGTGGTCACTGACACGGTTGTAGTAGTAGCAGCAGAGAATGCAGCTGTGAAGACAGTAGCTCCTGTACGACCCCAGAGAGGCCGAAAGCTCTCAGCAGAGCAGGCACAGCCAATACCTGCTCAAGATCAGGCTGCTCTTGTGCGTCCTCGGAGGGGATCCAGTGAAACTCAAGCCCAGCGGTCCCAGCCCCAGACAAAAACACAGCCCCAGGTGCAGGTACAAGTTCCACTTCAACTTGAGGCCCAAACCCCGACTCAGCTCTCTGAACCACAGGTAAAAGATCAAGCCCCATGTCCGTCTCAGGTTGAGGATAGCACTCTAGCAGAGAAGCCTCCTGGGAAGTCTAGTGGGAAACAATCAAAATCACAATTTCAGACTGAGACTCGAGGTGCGCCTCCAGGCTCCAGTGTTCAAACCCGTTCCAAATTAATTAAAGCACAGTCTCAAACCACTGCAAGTCGACGGGATTCCAAAGAATTTAAAGCATCACAACCTCCTAGTCGAGGATCAGGAGAAGCCCAGACCCGCCCGACTCGCCAGGGGTCATATGAGGCTCAACCTCCGTCTCAGGGCTCTCGTAGAAGTTCCAGTGAGACTCAACCTCCTCAAAAAGATACCAGCGAGACACAGCCACTGCGCAGAGGCTCCAGCGAATCAGCTCAGCGTCGTGGTTCAAGTGAAGCCCAGGCCTCACGTCGGGAAGCTGGCGAGGCCGAGCCTCCTCGCAGAGGCTCCGGTGAGTCGCCAACATCGCCTGCGGCTTTGGGCCAAGTCGTAACCCGGTTAACAGGGCTTCTGGGCGAGCAGTGGGCACAGCTGGGGAGCAGCTCTGGAACGCAACAGACGGCCAGCCAGCAGGAAAGCCCCACCACACAGAAACCGACGACAGGCAAAAGAGCAGAGGCGGCGAAAGGAGCATCAGCCAAGCCTGCAGGGAAGGCAGTCCCTGCAGCAACGACAGGGAAACCAGCAGGGAAGCCTGGTCCCTCCAAAATGAGCTCAATTCAAAGTCAACTGGTCAGCTCCCTCAGTGTCCTCTCTGCCTTCTACTCACCAAGCCAGAAAGCTGCTGCTGCCAGCAAGCAGCAAGAACACGGTAGGCCAGTTAGTATCCCATTGTTTACTGTATATACTGTTGTGCATCTGTCTGTCAAATGACAGATGCTGAATCCATTTCAAACTCATATTCACTGAAATGATCCTTTCACAGCTCCTACTCTCCATGCCTCTTAATTACATGTTCCCTCTGATCTCTGCCAAGAAATCTTGTGATTACCGTGTACGTTTACAACTCAGTAGCCTTAAATATAAATTTCCCATCCTTATTTCTCCGCCCTGAACAAAAAGGCCTCCATGAGGAGACAAATATTGGTAGAACAGCTTGACAGATTTCTGTGGGGTCACTTGTGTGGCGCTTTTTAATAGCTCTGGTAGAACACTTATTCTACCAGCACACTTCTTAGCTGAGGTAAGACACACGCTATTACTATCAAACTGACAACAAGGTGGTGTCCTCGTGTTTCTTAGTGACTGCAGTTTATTTTCACCGTAACCTGAAACAACAGTCCTATTCAATTATTCAGAAATAAACTGCTGACGAGGTGTCACATCATGTCTTTTGGCGCTTCGATCAATAGTACCACGTCAACCAGGATGCTTGTGTACAGTACCTGACTCATTAGACATGGAGTGCTGTTAGGATAGGAGTGAAGGGTATTGCTTGACATCTTTATAAGGTACTTACTTAGACTTCACTTAGCTGACACTGTGACTAGATATTAGTTTGACTGAGTCAGGAATAATTCATTTCCCTCTTATCTAAATTATACTACCTGTTACTTTTCTAGATAATTAATTATCCGATACTTTGCCAGGAGTCTAATGACTCTGAGTGATATGGACAGTGATGTATTGTCACATCCACCCGCAAATACTCAATTAATGTCAGTGGTCTACCTGAAAGGGAAATGTCTACCTTGCCTTCTAGTTCATTCCTAATTATGTTATCCTTTAACCTTGGCGAAGCTTTTCTCTTCTCTTTGCACAACCCGTTTCTCTATAGTTTATAATATACACTACAAGTACAAGCTGTCTTTTATAGTTATACATGTGTTGAATTACAGTAACATTAGCGTAATGAGGTAAAATAAAGTACTAGCATTAATCTGTGAAAAACTGCAAACCGCATCATAATATTATGCTTTGATCATCTATGGCTGCAGCACAACACATTGTGTATCAAAGATACAGTAATTATGGGATGGCATATACAAGAGCGAACAAACGCATGCTACAAAGCCCTTGTGAAATGACCTCCATGAGTATATCAAGTACTTCTTTAAAGCTTCACACAGTAGAGACAAACACACACCCGCACTCATACAGAGAACTGCACACATATGCGTACAAGCACTTACTTACACCGTCAGATGGACACTGAAGAACAGACCCTCACACACACACACACACACACACACACACACACACACACTCACTCACACACACATCAAACTGACAACGCTTTTCTTTCCTCCCTTGATATGTCTCGCTGTTCTGTTTCTGGCCCAGGAGCTGAAGTACACAATCACCCTGCTATCACACACATATTTCATGTTGAGAGTTCATTTAAAGTTCAGTGTAGGGAGTACAGTACACATGAGTGGTTTTAAGTGATTTGTGTGTGTGCATGCATGCCTGGATATATACAGTATGTGCTCTCTCAAATTGTCACTGTTTCTTTGCGGTTGCTTTCTACACCTTTGACATCTGAGATTCCTACATCTGTGTTTTACTTCCACAAATATTGGAAACAGAAACTTCTGCTGTTGCGTTGAGAACTTTTACTTATCCCAGTCATCAGAGACTCAAGTGGAGCTTTAGAGATTTTATGGACGAGGGAAATATCTCCAACACGGTGAGGCAAGGTTAAATTACACCCTTATTTTATTTATCAGAAGCTGGAGGGTGTATAAAAAGGCCGTATATGTTCTAAATCTCACCCTGCTGCTACTATCTCTCCTGAGAGAATGTCAGGATCAAAGAGCAGTCTTAGGTGGCGGTGGCTGGGATCTTTTCAGCCGGTGGTATCTGGCTCAAAGCCACATCCTTATGTCCTTGCATAAAACATTACAGAGTCTCTGCAGCACATGTTTTGCTGTCAGGCACAGCTAAGACAGCCATGCCTGGCTTAGAGCCAAGGGGAGTCAGCAAAGGCGCCCATGCAGCATCAATTATAGGGCAGTTACAAACATTAGGAGGCCTGACAATGTCATGGTTGTATGTTGTCTTTACGGTCTATCATCTTGACATGTGTACATCGAACTGGAAATATTTTGGGAGGTTGCTGAAAGTTTGTCAGTCGATCTGATGAAGTTGATAATCAGTTGTCAGGCAGTTCTATTCATTGACAGTGTGATGCTGTTCACTCACAATTATTTTATTGTTGCCTTTACATGAAGTAAACAAATGAGGCTCTAGCTTCCCCTTTCTGTCGGATGTTACACATACATTCACACACTGCTCAGTGTGTACTTCTGTGTGTCAGGCAGACATACTGTACACACTTGCACAAAGAAATACAGCAAACACGTGCAAACCATCATTGTCTCACGAGTTACCAATATCAGTTTGATGTACTGCTTTTACTCAGCCTCGAGGCTTATAACTTACTTTAACTCAGCTGTTCTGTTGTTTTGATTGTTTTTGCTGGATACACACTTTAGAAATTTGTTCTTCTATGATTGAAAGATAAAGATATTGATTCAAGGAAATGTTACAGTGTGAATTTACAGTGTTACACTGTTAGAAAGACAGGTGACAAATTCCACAGGAGGTTGAACGTGTTGGTCCAGAACCTCCCGTAGGTGTTCAATTGGGTTTACAAAAGATCTGGTACCTGCAAAGACCCGATATGTCTTACATTATTTTCATACTCATCAAAACATTCAGTGACCCCTGGTGGCAAGTTCCTCATTCTACTCAGTATTGTGTTGCTGTCAGAAGACTCTTTGTCCTTCAGTGAGGTATAATCCTGCTAAGGTTGGTCTGTAATAAACCCTCATTTCGCATGACTTAATCTGTTTGGACAGTCGGGTAAATGATAATGATGTTGTTGTGCGATGTCTACTGGGTGAGAGGAGCAATCAACAATCTTGTTGAAGATTATTTGAATAGGGGAATAAAATCATGCATCTATTAATGGCTCAATGTGTAATGACTCAGTTTTATAGTTGAGTTAAATCAGCCATACCTTAACAAAAGAGGGGACAGATCTGGAATGCTCATATGAGCTACTGACAAACAACCTGCTGTGTTTTGTGTTTAGGTATGAGAACATGTAAGGAATGATACAGAATGTGAAATGTTTCAGCATTGTGCATGCATACACACACACACACACACACACACACACACACACACAGAAAACACACAAACACTCAAATTCCACAAAGGCCTAATGAATTTTCCCCACCCTCCCTTTTCTTTTTCATTTCTCTTTCTCCCCCTCACTCTGTCCTCCTCTCCGCCAGGTCTCAAATCAATTATGAAGAAAAATGGTGTTGCTGACAAGCAAGGAAACAAGGGAGCCAAGAAAAACCTGAAGTTTGTTGGGGTGAATGGAGGGTAAAATCTTCTTTTTGATCAGTGTCCAATCTCTCTTTGTGATTCATATCTTTGTGTGGGCTGCAGTTTTTCTGTGCATTTTTAATTGAGTGTCCATTAATGTTTTGCTCCCTTTTTTATTATACCAAAATAATTCACTTTATTGCACAATAACTGAATGCTATATTCCATTTTATCTTGATTAAATTCAAGAATTTATTCCAATTTCAGAGTTTTCAGGTTTAATGTGTCTGAAGATGTGTACAAACATGTAAGCTGAGTTGTCTGAGTTTGACCACAGTGACTGTGAACTAAGTCCAGCTGTGTTTCACACATCTGCTTCATGCTGTTAGTCGTCAGGGCTCACTTGAAGACACACTGCCCTGACTTTGACCTCCCTGCTGCTACTGGGAGTGTGAATGTGTGTGCGCATGAATATGTGTTGAACCTTATGTGATGTGTGTGAACATTTTTGTCAGTATTGAGATACCTCATGTGCTTCGAGCAAGCATTCTTGTGTCGGTGTTTTCTGATGCTGGATGCAGTCTTTGAGTGTGTGTGTGTGTGTGTGTGTGTGTGTGTGTGTGTGTGTGTGTGTG